GTGGCTCATTGATAAAAAAAAAACTGAATTAATGCCTGCATTGCTTTGGAATACTTTAATATTGAGAGAAAACACTGTTCTGTCAATAATAAATATACAAAATTCATCAGTTTAATATTAAACACTAGAATATGCAGAAATTGTGATACTGTCTCCCTACATTGGATTTTCAACTAGGGATGTACTTCCTACTTCCGTTTATCAGTACACTCCTATGACCTTAATACGTTACTGTCTTTAGAAAACTGCACGGATTCCCCAAAAAGAACCATTGGTTTCCGTAATCACTACTGAGTATGGAAATGTGTGCAAACACAACTTAATAAAAGTAACCTTGTATCTGATATCAACACCATTTCCTCTTTATCGGAAACAGTGTTAAAGAATATGGAAGACATAGGCCTAGCGGAAGACTTTACAACTTTCCTTACACTTTTTACAGAAGGACATTTGTGTTTAGATAATGAAGATCTAAACTTAAACTGTAGGCCACATATAGTTCTTTCTCCTTCATGTTTGTTTTTATGATCTTTAAGGTCAGATCTCGTGCGGAAACATTTTGGGTCAATTTTCACATTTGATAGATCTCTCTTTGATGTTCCATAATATGTCACTTCAGTACTTTCTTGATTGAGTAAGTGCGATGACATATGTCACATCTATACACCTGAAATGTAAAAGAATATTTGTATTTCAGAAGTTAAAGAATCAAAAAGATTTTAATGGGTATTGATTAAAACACAGATTCGATAACGTAACGGAATCACAAATATATGAAATAACATTTTATACAGGAAGCACAATCACAGCTACTGAGGCCAATTTGTCTATGTGGTATCTGTGTTTATATGTTAAACGTCCTTTCAGAACAGTAGCCACACATGTTTTTGCATAGAGTAAAATGTAGCCACCACCGTTCTATTGTAAAACGTTAAAAAACACATGTTTGCCATTTAGATGGTGGAAACATTTCATATATAGCTAATTCTAGTAAATTTTCCAGTATTATGACAAAAAAATGTGTGATGAAATAGACAATTTTAACAGATATTGGAAAAAACATTTTCATAATTGCCCTGTCGTCTGCACCTAGTCATTAATTGTTGAGTGAGGTGTTTGAGAAATCTGAAGCATCCATTGGAATAACTTGTGTTGTAATATAAAGTTGAACAACCCTCGAGTTCTGTGCACTACTTCATTTCCAAAATATTCTGTCAAAGACGGCTTACTTAAGTTACTATAATCAAAAATGTTACCTTGTTGACATTGGCCATCTCCACTAGTATGCGATTTCACGTTTCATTTTCCTGTATGTTTTTTGCACAGTTCCCGCGTGTGACAACCATTTCCCGGGACTGTTGTACGATTAGACCCAGTGTGACAACCATTTCCCCTGTTGTACGATTAGACCCAGTGCTCGTGCTAGTATGAAAAGTTAATATGAAATAGTTCAATATCATTTTAGTATGTTGTGTATATAGCCTCTTACTACTATAAATAGTTACTATGAAATAGTTTCTCAAGAAAAAATAAGTGTAAGAAACATTGACATAGCATATAAGTTTTATTAAGTATACTACCATGGTACCTATTCCCTCATAGTACCAGGGCCTCAGTGGTTAAGTGGTTAAGGTGTCTGATAATGACTACGATCACTATAGCCCTCCACAACCCAGTCGTGGGTTCACCAGGGTCTCAGTGGTTGAGTGGTTAAGGTGTCTGATAGTGACAACAATCTCTATAGCCCTCCACAACCCAGTCGTGGGTTCACCAGGGTCTCAGTGGTTGAGTGGTTAAGGTGTCTGGTAATGACTACGATCACTATAGCCCTCCACACCCCAGTCGTGGGTTCACCAGGGCCTCAGTGGTTGAGTGGTTAAGGTGTCTGATAATGACTACGATCACTATAGCCCTCCACAACCCAGTCGAGGGTTCATCAGGGACAGTCACCAGGTACTGGCCACAGGTTTTTATTTTTGTTTAACAACTTCATCTCTAATGGATTTTGATTGAACTATATATGCATTGGTCAAGTTGCAAAGTATTGTCAAAGTGACTGTTCTTTTAAATAAGATAAACATCTTGTAGCATACAAGTAGTTTGCCAACTTTATGAAAATTCCATGGAGGAAATTATGCCTGTTTAAGATAAAATCATAAATAGAATGTGTTTATATATAAATATACCCCCAAGGGAAAAATAAACCTTCAAAATGACATCTTTTGCCTTGTTTTATTAGATAACCTTTTCGTTCGTTTAACATATTTTGTCTACTTTTATTGGCCCTAATGACCTCTTATGTTTTGATTGGCCATTAAGAATATGATAATAATAATTGTTATATTAGAAGAAAACATTAGATCTTAGAATGCCAAAAACTGTAACTAAGTATTGGACGCTGATTTTTCCACCACAGCTACAGTTCTGATAAATCATTTCTGAAAAGAAACACACCCTGTGGTGCAAATGTATGTAAATGTTATTAAGCAACAGAAAGTGTTATTACATTGTATGTCAACATGGTAGAATAAAAGATTACTGTGGAGAAGCCATTGAATGTTACTGTAAAAATGCTGATTTTGACCTTTTACCAAATATCCCCTGTGATCTTAGTACCATGAGGACAGGTATGTAGGCTCTGATTTATCTTATAACAGCTCAGTACAGCAATCTTTTCATGTCAGTGAATTAATAGTGGAGATTATTTTTTCTAGGAGCACTTGATTTTACTCCTGGGATGACCTGTGAATGAAAATAAACATATCACACAAACTTGGTCATGATTAAAAAAAATCTTCAAGTGCCGCTATTTTAATGAAAACATAATAAATAAATTTCCATAAATTAATTCATAATTTGACTGCCCTTAACTTTTCTGCCAGTCAGATCAGTGGGTACAATGCAGAATCTAGTGTCTTTTTGTATTAGAGTTACTTCCCTTTATATGTGTCTGATAGCCATTGAATGAGTGTGAGTGTGTGTGTATTTTGTTAGGTCTAAAAATAGACAATAAGTTGGAAGGAAACTGTACACGTCAAAAGTTGGTTTTACTGATATCACTGAGACTTGAAAGCACTGATCAAACATCATGTGACTATGATCAGAAAATGACACTGAACATGTGTAATGTATATTACAATATGGATGTATTGCCGGCTGGAGTCTAGAGTGGTTTGAATGATTTTGAAGTTTAAATTACATATAGAACCAGCTTTGGTTTTGTTGGAGTGGGTCAAACTTTGGAGTTTAAATACCTTCTCTATGTATCATTTGACTTTAAGTCTATACAATACATTGTGTGGATAGTTGTATACATGTACATGTATATAGTATGTGGACGTAGGTAGTGATTTGTTTGTACATTACATTGGTGTGGCTTGAGGTTATCTGTTACAGGAGATTTATACACTTCTTCAGTATAGCATGTGACAGTTGTGGTGGTTGACTTCATGCAAGTGTACGCAGACGTAGCTTGTGTATGTGAGATGAAGTTAAAATGACGTAACTCAATCAGTTACAGTTGGTTGAATTAACAATGTACAAGATAAATTTGGATGTACTATGAGATTTTTTCTGACTTGTTACGGCTGACATAATTATGAAATACATATGTATAGTTTTTTCTCTGATAGAAATAGTGTATCAGTAATACAGTTATCGTGTAATGTGTAATATATATATATATACACACATCAGCGTTAAAAATGTAACATCCACCGGATCTAAAGGACAAGCACACATCCTGTATAAGTTTATGTACTTCTCACAAAGCAATCTCTTGTGACAAATGTCTGTCCATGGACTATGTCCTGTCCAAACTGTTATTTATATTTTGTCATCACACTTGGGGTCTAGTTGAATCCGCTGGTCATGTTTTCAAGGTTTAAATTATGGGATATAAACAGAAATTCAGTTTCTTTAGCATGACATACCATTGTCAGCACAGAAATATTTACTAGCAGATGTGGTGGAAGACTCAGAGATCAGTCTGAACTCCTGGTTTTCTGATCTGTTGATTTGATTTGTTACTACTCCATAAACGAATCAAGTAACATCTCAGGATATATAATGATATGCATATTTTAACTTGAATTGTTAGGTCTTAAACAAAACATCATTATGGCCTAATTCATTGATTTAGTAGGTGTATAAAGTTGTTAATAGACATCAAAATCTGTCAATTACCGATATTCATAAATTCTATTCTGTGTTAAATCAAAATGTCATTTAACAAAGGGTGATTATAATGAAAACATTCACATCTGTGTAAAACATATTTGTCAAGTTACACTGTGAAACAGACTACCCCATTAGTGATTAGTGATAGTGATTTAGTACACATAAACAATTCATTTTTACATCATTTTTGATGACTTTTTTGGCTTTTGAGGATAAATTGTAAATTAGGACAGAGCTATTAATATCTTCACAAGTAAATTTGATTTTAAAATCTTAGTTTGTGAAATATTTCATGAATTTGAATAGATTTTAATTTTAAGTAATATGCATTTCCATGAATTAAAACAAGTTCAAAAGGAAATCATTATTTTGATGACTGTTCCTTAATGAATATTTATAAACTGCACACTATCTGAAATTATGTATAAGATCATGAACTGTTCATGGACATTCATGAAGTCATGAATATCATCCTGCAGTGATGAAGTTGATTGTAAAATAAAAGTATTTTCATGTCACATGGAAAGGACCAGTATATTACGTATTTATCAATAAAGTATAATAAAGATAAAAGCAGCCCGTATGCTGCAGTGACATAGTCGTACACTGTAGACTATAAATCTGTGTACAATAGCTTACATTCCTATGATAAGTAAAAGCATCACACGGATACTTAACAGGTGGGTTATAGTGAGTCATCACTCAACGTGTTACAATATATTATTGACAGTTAATGCCCTGCAACCAGTGTTATACCTGGAGTTCTGTGTGATTCTAGCTGGTATGATGCAGACTGTCCAGCACTTTCTTGTCTGTCTGATGGACAATCTAGTCTATACTGTTATCTTCTATTGACCGGTTCCTCCGGACATGAACTGTGATTATCAGTACTTTATTCATATTCAATTTAGTTCTATGTAGAGGAAATAATTGCTTTATCAGTACAATCAACAGACTAACCAAGTGGGTCACTTTCCTATGTATAATGGACAGAAACAGATTTGTCTGGTAGGCATTCGGAGAGTTTCAGACTTGAGAAAGTTCAGTGTTAGTTTTCAGCCTTCAGGACGTTTAGCGTGAGTCTTCTGGATATTCAGTGGTTTGATTTTCAGGTGTGAGCTGACGATCAGGAGCATCTCGACTGTCTCTGAGATTTACCATTCCTGTATACCTGGTGTGGTGATGTCTGGAGCTACAGCTCTGAGTAGAGCTCAGTTAGTTGTTGTTGATACTTGTTAGTGAAAGGACTAAGACCACCAGGTACAAGTGCTTCATCAGGTCTCGAATGTCATATCTGGAGGAAAAGGCCCTGACAGTGTATATATATGCAACATGTTTGCAGACAAAAAAGCCCTGATTGTGTTCACAATAGATAAGAAATAAGAGGCCCTGATCTTGTATATATATACAACAATAGATAAGAAATAAGAGGCCCTGATCTTGTATACAGCTTACATGCTCTCAAAGAAACCAGGGTTTCTTAAAGACGAAGATGGCTGCAAGTTTGGATAAGGTGAAGATAATAGCTAATGAGGAGACACAAGTATGTGAAGGTTACGGTGCTCTGGAAGGACCAGACTTTTCACGGTACGAATCCGTATATGGGAATAAATTCCCCAATGATGTGGAGTACGCTAACAGGGTTTATGAGGCAGAGCTAGCGATCGACGCGGGCAAGACCCCAACACTGAGTGAGAAGGGCACAAGTGGCTGTTACTTTGTACAGAACAGACAGGGCGTAAGTCTAGTGGACACACTGTTACTTTGGTGGCCATATTTACACTTTAACTTCATGTATATATATATATATATATATATAGCGTAGCTGGACTGGGACGACCAGGTAGCTCAATTGGTAGAGCGTTTGTCCAGAGTTTGGAGGGTCCTAGGTTAGAACCCTGGTCTGGCCGTGCATGTTTCCATATGCTGTTACAGTGGTGCCTGTGACCAACCCTTGTTTCAAGCATTGAGTGTACACTTGGCATGGGGATACATGAACTTGGGTTGTAAATAGTTGTGTCTTTGAGGGTGAAGACTTAGAAAAGGGGGGAGGAATGTAGCAGAACTGGACTGGGTCGATCATCGGCGGTCAGGTAGCTCAAGGAAACTAATATTTTTATAAATGGAGGGTGTGGCCCCTCTGGGTGCAGAGGGTGGGTGCCCAATAGGGGAATTTGAGGTTTAAATCTTTAAAATCCTTCTTCTTCTGTACCATAGGGGGTATTTTTACCAAATTTGGCCTAGAACATCCTTGGGTAAAGGGGACTCAATTTTGTATAAACGGAGGTGTGGCCGGCCTGGGGAATAAGAGCTGGGTCCAATAGGGGAACTTGTGGTAAATCTTCAAAATCCTTCTCCTTCTGTACCATTGGAGGGATTTTAACCAAATTTGGTCCTGAGTATTCTTTGGCAAAGGGAAGTCAATTTTGGGGCTCAATTGAGGTTAATATATAAATCTTTCTTCAGTATGATTGGAATTATTTTAACTTAATTTGGTCCAGAGCGTCATTTGGCAAGGGGGACTCGATTTGTTTTAACAGGGAGTGTGGTCTCCCTGGGAGCAAATGGGAAGGGTCCAGTAGGGTTAACATAGTAATAAATGTTTAAAATCCTTCTCCTTCAGTTTATTTAGAGGGATTCTAACATAATTCTGTGTAGAGCATCCTTGGGCAAAGAGGATTCAATTTTGTATAAATAGATGGTTGCTTTTAGGGGGCAAAGGGGTGGGCTCAACAGGGGAAATTGAGATTAATGTTTAAAATCCAACCCAATTCATGGGGGCAGAAAGAAGGGACTTAATGAGGGGCGGGTGTTGCTGAGACACAGAGCAAATGTTTGGAAATAGTTGTAGTATTATATGTAAAAAGAATAATTTTCCAGGTTTGTTTTATTATCCAGGTGAGCAACACAGGCCCTCTGGGCCTCTTGTTTTACTTCTTAGGCAGGGGATTGTGCCTTGTGACTTTGAGAAAATATCATGCACAAAAAGCATGATTTGGGGATAATAAATGACTTTTGAAATATACATTTTTGAAAGTACAACAGAAAATATCTAGGGGAGGAGGCATTTTTCAAGGCCCCTTGATGATGTGGATTCACAATTAAAAATTATTTTTAGAGGAAGAAAGGGTGGGAGAAAAACAATCAGTCCTTGGGATAAGATCTTTTAGGTTAAGAACTTGGCATAGCATTGTTCCTAACTTTGAAAGGTTGAGATTTCTCAGTCTACATCACAGTCTATACAAGATGGGCCACCTAGTTCCTGTATATAGGTGCATGTAGGGGACATTCTTACCTGAACTTACACTACCTAGTTCCTGTACAGTGTTGAAGTCTAGAGTATTTTAAGGTAGATCTAATATAAACTGTCTAGTATACCATACCTGCCAGGTCGCATGTATTTGTGCAGGTCAACTTGAAAATGACCTCAATGACCTGCACAGATTGTAATGTATTTTAGAGTTTAGAGTCCCCTGTATTTACACTGCTTATCCCAACATCAGAAATATCTGTAAATCAATTTTTTAAAGCTTTAGACATTATATGACTCCTTTTAGACATACCACATGTAGCACATTGAGAGGAATGTAATAGCTCAATGCCATACTACTGATTTTGATGACTTTGAAAAGCCTACATACCAAAATGACTTCCAATGACGAGGCTTGACTGAATATTTTAACTGTTCAGGACTTTGCATTGTTGTGAAATCAGCAGGTATGGTTTAAAATAAAATAAAGTATCCGTGAAAAAACATCATACAGGTAAAATGGTACCTTTATGTTAGTTACATCTATACGGATGTATTAAAATGTTAATAAACTGGATGTACTGTCCCAAACCTGGTCGTTGTGTTGATATTTCAGACCTGTGATGAATTCCTGCTACACAGATGTATACTTACATATACATATAGCGGTGGATTACAGCTGGTCCCTCAATACTGATATGCTAATGTACAAAACATGAATCAATATAACTGTCCACTCTATCTACTGATCAGACTGTACTTATACATATATACCATAAAGAATGTCTCTGATGTATCCTGTTAATGGTCATACATGTACATGTACAATGGAAGTTGTGTTCGGGACTTTTACGTACATATTTAAACTTTTCTTAGGGTGTGTAACTGCTACAACATAAGTAATAATAATAATTTGAGGTTCTTATATACAGCTTTATCACAACCTAGTTTGTAGGTCGTCTCAATGCAGTTCACAAATTATTATCTGTGGTTATAGGGCCTTTGCAACCAGCCAATATCTTTCTCAACTCCCTGGGGAGTATACAAGTACCATGTATGTAGGTAATGTGTTTACAGTACATTTGATTTAATACCTCATTGCTTCATGCCACTGTTTGTTTAATTACATAGACAAGTAGCAAGTGGTATAAACCGGAATGTACTGTAGCAAGGAATGAATTGCAGCAGTGTAGACAATATCAGGTTGTACCAATTTTCAGAGCAATCCGCTCCTTTATCGAGACAGTCCAAACTCACACAAACTCAAAATCTACATCCTGTGGTCAAATACTGTGTCATGATTATAACGTGTCTGAATGAAGTTAATGACTTCTGGAGTTATTTTAATACTCGTACGTAAAAAGAGGGAAAGATAAATTGAGCAAAGCAATTTCAGTCACATTTTACACACTTTCTCCCTCATCAGGAAATGTGGAATGAGGGAAATCTCCCTCATTGAAGGTTTCAGAGGTTGACACCTATGCAATTATATAGCTACATTTTCTCAATCTTCTTGTTAATAATTATAGTTTCATGTTACATAATTGGTACACCTGTCATGTAAGTCAGTGTTTTAAGGGAGTTTACATGGATGTTGTCTTCATTTGAAATTAAAGCAAAAACTTATAGAGAACCTAATTAGTTAAAACATGATTGCCTTCCTGTTACCGAGTTTCAATAGATTTGCAGTACACTGTATGATAATGCTACAAATTCACCAGGACATCTCAAATGTTGAAACTAGATGATTTGCACTGGATGAAGGATTAAACTACATGTAATTAATAGGGGGGAAATTGACAACGTTGGAGATTCAAATTCCCTAAAAAGCTCTGAAAATAGTTTAGATATGGTAGATATAAGAATTTTTAAAGGGAAACTCAATCCATTATCAAGAGAAATGACTTATTGTTGATTTAAACAACTATTTCTTGTCAAAGAGAGTTATTCAAATTTGTTTTATAATTGTCACCGTAGAGAGCGTGTTTGTTACCTGTGTCACATTTATCAGCATTGCCAACAATGTGTTAAAAGAAATACACTTTACTCAAACATTCATCATATCATGGTTTGACTTCATCTTAGTAGATCATACTGGTTACTTTTAATTAACATTTTGGTTGGCCTTTTCTATTTTCAGAAAACTGTCGGGGTATTTAAACCGAAAGACGAAGAACCATACGGGCAGTTAAACCCAAAGTGGACAAAATGGATGCACAAACTTTGTTGTCCGTGTTGTTTTGGACGAAGTTGTCTTGTACCAAACCAGGGATACTTATCTGAAGCCGGAGCTAGTGTGGTGGACCAGAAACTCCAGTTAAATGTAGTTCCCAAAACAAGAGTAAGTTATTCACACTCTGTAATAAAGATAGTCCTTCCACTGAGCCAGTAGTGGTTGGATTCCTTATGTGGGTGTGCTATTTTAGATACTTAACCCTTTCATCCCTAGGTAACTTTAGTAGACTCTACCATACATTTTTCTGGGTGAGTCCATTATGGTCTACAGTGTTGAAAGGGTTATGTCCTGCCCACCTGTGACTATGGCTGTTGCAGAAGACACTTACTCCTACTGCACTTCTTTCCAAGAATCAGAATAGCCCATTTTAACCCAAAACTCAATCTTTCCTTTCCTATTTGATACACATACACAGCCTAGATACCAAAGTAAGATTTCAAATTCCAGAACCCAAAAAATCATTTTCTTGTGATCCACAAAGCAAGATACATATTGTATATCAAAACAAGATATATCAATGTTATCATTCTTATTCCAAAGCAAGTGTACCATAACAGTGGTAACAACTTCAAAATAAATTTATCACGTCCCGGAGACAAGAACGCTAAATCTATTCCTGCTCACAGGCTAGGGAGATTTGGATGAGTTACTTTTAAAAAGTCTGTATAGCCACTGTATAGGTACTTGTATGAACTGTCAGCTAGCATGGAAGAATACTCTTGAGAGTTTTAATTACTTTTGTCCACCCATGTATACCTACAAGAGGATGAACTACCCTCTACAAACAAGAACACATTTATGCCTGGTCATTATTAATTATCTCAGTATTGTTGTTCAATATCTGTCCTTTCTTTACACGAAGTGGTATCCACTATAAAAATAAACAGAATCTACTGAATTATAAACAGAAAAAAGAGGCCGTCTGTATATCAATTAAGCAAGAGAAAGGCTGTATTTTTACCCTGTGGGGCTCTATGAAGTCCCTTGGTTATCTCACAGAATGTAGAATATAGGTGAGGGGAAAATGTCCATTGAAGTTCCTTGACTTTTAAATTGCTATATATATATCATGGTTGTTGATCAAATTTCATACATTTTGTCATTCAAATGATTTAAGAAGTGTGGCTTTTGATATCTGTTTGACTTGACTGCTACATGTATAAGTCATGTTTTATGTGTTATATTTTCAGGTAGTAAAATTAGCCAGTGATACTTTTAATTACAATGCAATAGACAGAGCAAAGTCTATAACAAAGAAAAACATTCTGGAAAAGCTGCCTAATGTGGGTCGACATTTCCACAGAATAGGCTTACCACCAAAGGTGAGATTTATAACACTGTAGCACATACTTAGCAGAGTTATCTCTCCATTGATTACCTCAACTTTAATACTACATGTAATGCTGATTTGTATACTGTTCAGTGTTCACTGGTTCAGCAGAGTTACCTCCCCATTGTAAACCTACACTGATTTGAAATTAACTCTGTTTCACATAGTAGTTATTTATGAAAGATTTTACATTGAAATTACATTTAGATATATTTTTATAAGCCCGTCAAATTTGACAGGAGTATTATGGTATGGGGTTGTCCGGCCGGCGTAAACTTTTGTTTGGCTGGCAATCTTCTCCTACATTTTTGGACAGATCTCTTTGAAACTTAGTATATAATATAACCATGATATGGAGTTGTGTCTCCCTGAAAAAAACTTTGATTCAACAATTTTTGCAAAAGTTATTGCCCTTTGTTGTGTCACCTGCGTAAACTGGTGACACATAGGTATTGCTATGGCGGCGGCGACGGCGTCCGCACAGAGGTTTTCGTGCGATAACTTGAGTTTCCTTGGGCCGATCAAACTAAAACTTCATGCAGTGCTTCCTTACCAAAAGTGCTTGCTTGGAATTGCTTTTCAGGTCCGAAGGTCAAAGGTCAAGGTCACTGTTACTATAAATAGAAAAGTGTATCTATTTCTTCGTTATCTCCCAACTTCCTACGCAGGCAACACATTTCAGTATTTGATTTTTGTCCGGCAATCTCCTCCTACATTTTTCAATCGATCTCTTTGAAACTTGGTATACATTATAACCATGATATGAAGTTGTGTCTCCCATAAAAGATTTTGAATTGACAATTTTTGCAATAGTAATTGCCCTTTGTTTATTCCAGTATTTGATTTTTGTCTGGCAATTTCCTCCTACATTTTTCAACGGATCTCTTTAAAACTTGATAAACATTATAATCATGATATGAAGTTGTGTCTCCCTTAAAAGAATTTCAATTCAACAATTTTTGCAAAAGTTATCGACCTTTGTTCATTTCAGTATTTCATTTTTTTGTCAGGAAAATTTCTCCTATATTTTTTATGGTATGTCAGCTTACCACTCTTAGAATGATGCAGAGAGATCTTATTTCAATGTAAGAAAGTATATAACACTATATGGCATTCGACGGGCGTATATTGTTCCGCCCCGCGGTACTCTTGTTTTGCATGTAATCCTTAATTGTGAATTTCCTTGATCTGTATCATAACAATTCTATACAAAGGCTAATTTTGTAGAGTACTTTTGACTGGTGGATTATTGTTTATTTATACATCCAATATTACCTTTAACAGACGGGATCATTCCAATTTTTTGTCAACAACTTCAAAGATGCCGACTTCTGGTTACGGAAGTTTGACAACGAAGATTTACCAATCTCTACGGCAACACGACTTCAACATTTATTTGAACGACTTGTAGTGCTAGATTATATAATCAGAAATACTGGTGAGTTAAAATCATAACTTGATTTCTTATAATCAAAACAATTGATTTGTGAATTTCTCATAAAGATGAGAGAAAGATGAAAAAATGTCTGAAAAGATTAGTTTCAGACTTTGTTGATTTTTCTCTGTATGTTAAAACTCACTACAAACTACAACTTAGAGTCTACAGTCAACAGATATAATTATTGTCTGTGGTTTCTTCCTGCAATTTTAATGGTAAACTATTAAGCTGTGGCATTCTTTAACTTATTGCTGGCTAACAAAAAATAGAAATCAAGGCCCACTTTAAAATCTGATTAGTAGGAAGAATGTATCTGTTTTACCTAGTAAAACTTTGCCAATCCCATCTAACATTGATTTATATGTTTCAGATAGAGGAAATGATAACTGGCTTATACGATATGAACCAGCCACATCACGTGGACAATCAGAAGAGGTAATGTTTTGTCATCGTCTGTCATACCTCTAAAACAACACAGAAAATGTACCCTAACAACAAGAGTTCCAAAGAATCACAGTGGTATATGTCTGTAATCGGGCTGAATTTGGTTTCATAGTTACTGAAGTTCTTCAATAAAAGAAATTTATAACAAAAAAAATTGACAACAAAAACTGCACCATGCTATAAGCTCACAGGTTATTTGTGCCAGATGAGCTAAGAACTTCTTAAGTTCCAAAAGGTCCAGGTTCAAGACATTAGGTAGTATAGGTACCTGGCATGGCGTGCTATAAAGTTTCTTCATATCAATGACTTTCACTATTTTTCTCTGGTCATGACTTGGAAATGGTTGAGATTCCCATCATATAATTATTCGCATTTGCTGTCCATTAAAAAAAACACCACAAGCATGCTACCAGGATTGACTCCAGGATCTGTCTCTGTCCCTAGGGACTTTTTCTCAAGTCATAACATGGAAACAATTAAGATCCATTCCATATAACCATATACACATGCATATTGGTCTCAACCTGATTTGCTAGCCATAAATAGCGAATATTTACAATACATGTATTGACTTAATCAGAATATTTTGTCATGATTGCTTAAATATTTAACTTGTTCAACTGTTAAATTGACCTTGATTCAGTTCAGTAATTGATAATTTTATCTAATGATATTGAATTATGTTTTTGTACAGGAAAGTGAATGGAACTTTGTAGATAACCCAGTCATATCTGTTGCTGCAATAGACAATGGATTAGCATTCCCCTTTAAACATCCAGATGAGTGGAGAGCATGTAAGTAAGACATTGACCTGTCAGGTCTAGTGTATTTCACAGGATTTAGACTCATGTGTAGTGTTAGGAATCAACTATAGACACCCAGAAGGGTTTTCTATACTTAAAGAGATATTGTTAACGAAACTTAGAGAGATATTGTTAATGAAAATCTCTATTTTGTTTTAGATTTTTAGGTCACCTGAGACAAAGTCTCAAGTGACCTATTGCGATCGCCTTTTGTCCGTCGTCGTCCGTCGTTCTTCGTCCGTCTGTAAACAATTTACATTTTCGACTTCTTCTCCAAAACCCCTGAACCAATTTCAATGAAATTTTGCAGGGACCTTCCATGGACAAAGGCCAACAAAAATAGTTGCCGGTTTAGTCCTAAGTCCCCAGGGGCCTGAGGGGCGGGGCCAAAAAGGGTCAAATTGACTAAAATTTCAAAAATCTTCTTCTCCAAAACCCCTGAACCAATTTCAATGAAATTTTGCAGGGACCTTCCATGGACAAAGGTCAACAAAAATAGT